TTGAGAATGGCCTGTGGTGTTAAGCCAAGTATCCTACAACTTAGAAGTGTTGACAGGCTTTATGAGACAATAAGCCTGTTAAACGCATCACAAACCCCATTACCCATAGAGCCATGTTGATGTTGTTACTACTGGCCTTTGCTACTATAAATTGTTACTTCTATCCTAACCGTCTCCCCTGCTATCAGCGCGTTTCTCGGTTCTGTGGAAGCTCAGGAACGCTCCACAATCCATTCGCACTCAGCAGCAATGGCTCGAGGAACTCTTCTTCCACCTCCTGGAGCAGGATACCCACCTCGCCGGGCTTTCGGCCACTGCCAAACTACTTTGTAAGCGCTGGAATGGGAACTGCTTCTGTGCGCGTCCCACCCCGATGACAAGTCACCCAGCTGCCCCCCAGCTCCGGTACAGGGCAATTTTGCCCTCTTAGTTGTTTGTTAGCGGTACAATTGCCAACAAACACCGTCTGTACCATTGCTAGCTTTTCTGTTCCTGCTTATTTGAAAGGTTCCTTCTCGTTTTCCCTGCCCTCGCCAGATGCAGCTGCTGCTTTGTTGCTGCCTTGAAGCTTTCTTTACACCAAGGCCCGCATCTTACGACTGCTCGTTCATAGTGGAGCTCATCAGTATCAGCTCCCTACAGCCCCACACATTTTTTTAAGTTATTTATGGTTTCAGAGCTATTAACTAGGATCTTTCTTTATCCACAGACTTCCTTGTATTCATAGGAATACGGGTTTTTAAGCACGTGGTAAAGTTTTCATTCCAGACTTGGAGCAATCGTGCACGGGGCTGCAACCTTTCCCCCAGGCTGTGCTCGGCTCCAGGAAACTCGTCTCTGCGAGCGCGAGGTGCGTGGTGCACTCCCCGCAGGCACGGGGCCCGCCCGGCGCGGTTACCTGCGTCCTCCCTGCGTCCCGCACCAGGTACGTGGGCAGCTCCAGGCTGAGCGCCAGGGCCTGGAGGTCCATCAGGTGGGCAGCGTTCGTGCCCTGCACCACCACCTTCTTCGCACTAGCTGGGGAAAGGCGGCGTCAGGGAGCCCCGTCCCTCGCTGCCCACAGCCACCCGCGGTCCGGCGGGGCAGGCCGGCCCCTGCCCCCAAGGCCCTCTTACCC